AGCTCGGTTCCTTATGACCGTTTCCACGCCACACTAGCACGGTACCGCATCTCCTAGGGGCGATCTACGGTACTACAGCTCTCTAGAGGGAAACAAGCAAACCAACATGGCGGCACCAGTAACATTCAGGAAGTTTGTGGAGAGTCAGGAGAAGAAGGCAGCCTTTGGTGAATTTACTTGACAGATTCAGCTTTTGGGAAGTGGATACGACAAACGATAGTCTAATCAGGGCTTCCAGATGCAGGAAACAACGACAGACGTTGAGGTTCATCACACTGCTAATCATCACTGGAAATCGTGTGGCGCGGTAGGAAGCTAGGATTACGGAGGCTAACTGTAAGGAGATGAGGCAGTCTGCTCAGCTCTACTGATGAACTAGTGCCATGTTAGCGCGGTTCGGAAGCGTCTGGCGCAGTCCGGGTCAGTTCTGAGTGCCAATTACACTCAATAGTTACCACAGTTACTGTGCTCGGACCGACTTCTGCATGGTTCCAAGGGTAGCGGAAATGGAGCTTACATGCACCAGGGAGCGTTATCACAGTTCCTTCCTCCCAGAAGCTGGAAGACTCTAGAACCATCACTGTTCCCAACAACCTCAATCAGGTGTTCCATTCATGCTGACTTTGCACAGTTTCTACCTTAGTCAGTTAAATAACCTGCTGCTGTCATTCTGCACATCTCTGATGTTGCTGCTATTTTCAAATATCCATTACTGTAAAGATGTCCATAGCTGCATATTGGTTATTTATTCTCCAGTTTGATATTATTAAAACACTTTACAGGATTGTATTGTTCACCTTTTAACTCTTCACTGTTATTTATTCTTAGACATTTTTCTAAGGTCCACATTATTATGACCATTTTTTATTTATCTTTTTGCGGAAACTCCACAATTTCGCCACAAAATTTCACATTCTATTCTATTCTATTCTATTCTATTCTATTCTATTCTATTCTATTCTATTCTATTCTATTCTATTCTATTCTAATTACATTACATTATATTATATTATATTCTACTGCTGTACAGCAGGTGGCGGTATGCAGCCTGAAGCTGCTTTCTAACCACCCTAATAGAAAAGAAGAAGAAGATGAAGCAGCAGCAGAAGAAGAAGAACCGCTCCGGTTTGTTTACTTTGCGGCGGTGACCATCCCGCTGACCCGGTNTGGGCCCCAGGGATCCGAGGCCCCAGGGACGCCCGAACCCCACGCAGGAGCCCCAGCCAGGCCCCGGGCGACCGGGCCCCGCGGAGAGGCCGCCAGGAATGAACCAGCAGCCACCCGGGCAGCCACCCCCAAACCCCGAGCTCCACCAGTGGAGCCCCGACGCCAGCCAGCGGAGGGAGGGCAGGACAGGGGAATGCACTCCGCACTTAGCGTGTAATAGAGATGTGCGTGGGAGAGGGGGCAGTTCAGACCCCAACCTGGGAGAGAGAAGGAAAAAAAAGAGAAATGAAAGAAAGAGGAGATAGAAAGGAGTGAGCTTGTCGCAGATATTTTAGATTTATGCTCAATATTGGAGCGTGGTCTGCGCTATGTTATTCCTCGCCACAATGCCAGAGGGACTAGCTGTGGGTCTAGATACGGCCGAGGCGGTGAGGAAATAAGGCAAGTTTGTGCTACAACGGAGGGACATGTGGGCCAAAAAGAGCGGGGATCCAGGTGGAAAAAGGGTCTCAGCGTTCTTTCACACCTCACTCTTCTAGCTGCTCCATCTTCACCAGTCGTTTTCCACAATGGAGGTCAGAAAAACAAAACAAGCCGGTAAGGAACCACACAGGAAAATATGCATAGTGTAGAGCGATTGGCGAATTGACCAATCAGAGGCCTCCTGTCTGCGGTCACCTACAATTTTGGAGAGGTGCAGCAGATTGTCTGTGGAGTGGGCGGGGCATATCTGCGTTCACTGCGACGCACGCGCAGACAACCTGGTTTCTGAGTATAAACCAGCCTTAAAGCCCCACTTACACCACCCTCTGAAACAGCTCGGTTCCTTATGACCGTTTCCACGCCACACTAGCACGGTTCCACACCTCCTAGTGGCGATCTACGGTACTACAGC